TATAGTCAGTAAGCTACAATTCTCTCTTAAACACAATGACAGTATCTAAGCATTACTCAAATTCAAAGAACTTAAATTATTTTTCAAATTAAAATATTTGAGGGGGCCTGGAGAGATAGATCAGCTTTTAAGAGCACTGGCTGCTCTTGTAGAGGACCCAGGTTAGATTCCCAGCACCCACATGGTGGCTAACTATTGTCTATAACTCCAGTTACAGGGGATCTGACCTCTGCTGACCTCCTTGGGCATTGTGTGACATAGGTACACTTGCAAACATGTAGGCAATGCACTGATACACATAAAACAAAAATAAACAATAAAATACTTTTTAAAGTGTTGGAGAGGACATGGAGGAAGGAACACTACTGAACACTACAGGTGAGAATGTAAATTAGTACAATTGTTATAGAAAAAAGCCCAAAGCTTCCTTTAAATAATGATGTACATATTAAAGATACATATATGTTTATATACATATATGCACATATAGATATATCTACATATATATCACTTACTGAGTTCCTTTAGTGTTGCTTATATGTGAATGTGCTTAGGACTGAGCACTTGGGATTGGATAGCCTACCAGGGAACTCGCCCCTGAAGAAACGATTCACCTTCTCTCAGTACTGTCTGCTTCATCTAGCAGTGGAACTTTGTGAAATTCCACCATCTACATTGGCATGTCAGCTGATGTTGTCTCTATCTAGGCCTTGCTCACATATTCATACTGTTGAGGTTTCATGGATGCAGCTTCCCTGTCATGTCTAGAAGACACTATCAAGCAACAGGCATCCTGGTGCTCTGGCTTTTACAATCTTTCTACTTCCTCTTCCTTAAATTCCCTAAGCTTTAGGTACAGAGGTTGCATTGTAGATCTGTGAATTAGGATTGGGAATTCTAGTCACTTGACAACATGACTCATTATAGCTAAGATAATAAGGAAGAACCTCGGTGTTCTTCAACTAATGCAGGGGTATATGTGTCTGTGTGTGTATACAGTAGGATGATATTCAGTAGTAAAAATGAAGACAATATTGCTATTTGTGGCAAGATAGATAAACTAGGAGGACATTATGCTAAAAACTAAGTCAGATATAGAAGGAAATATCATACTTACTTGTGAAAAATATAATGTTGAACTCAGAAGTGGATAGGGGAATTGTGCGTATCATAGAGCAGGGGACGGAAGAACCTGGGGAAATGTTAGAAAGTTCCAGAACTTCAGTTCACTATAAGGAATAAGTTCAAGAGATACAGTATACACTCTGTTGACTATTGAAAATTGGTAAAAATGGATTTTAGGTGTTCTAACTAGAAAAGAAGGGGGTGTAAGTTACCCTGTGAAATGAGTCAATTTAGTCATTCTAACATATGTACACATCAAAATATTACATTATGTGTGATACATTATATGTGCTTTGTCAACATAAATGTAAATTGGGCCAAAATAGAGAAATTTTAACCATATGGAAAATGACTTCTCAGTATCCATCCTTGCATTAATCCCCTCTAATATTTTCCTGTGTTGTGTACTATGCATACCGTCTTTTCTTTCTCTCCATCAGTGGAAGGACAAAGGTTTTTTCTTTATATCTGTCCAGATATAAACTACACTTCCCAGCTCTCATTGTCTGTTTGCACATGACTGACTTCTCAATAATGGAAATAAGACATAGTCTTAGAGAGAAGTCCATTGTCAATCATTTAAGAGAATACTACTCCCCCCTTACTTCTCTTTTCTTGAGGTTGGCAGACTAAGCCAGCTTCAGCAGGTAGATGAGGACAGATTAGGGCAGAGTGAAGAGTCAGAGGAAGGTCTGCTCTGTTGACACCTGTGAAAACCATTGATTGTATTAACTGAGTCTTAAAAAGAAGTACAATTCAAAAAAGTAGAATGCAGATTGTAAACCTTTTCATAATAATGTTTGATTTTCTAAAGTCTAATTAAAATTTAAGTGCACATGTG